ATGTACACTGTGGCCACCTATATATGCAATGTGTGTGTGTGTGTGTGTGTGTGAGCAGGTATACCTATCCTTATGGGGACACAATGTCCCCATAATGTGATAAATGTCCATTTTTTTTCCCTTATGGGGACCGGTTTCCTGGTCTCCATAAGGGAAAACTCTATTTTATAAAAATCGGTGACTGTTATGAAAAAACTAAAAATGCAAAAACTCTTGTATTTTGTTTGGTTAATTATGGTTATGGTTATGGTTATGGTTAGGGCAGGGTAGGGTAGGGTAGGGTAGGGTAGGGGTTAAGGTTGTCATAGTTAGCATTAGCATTTTTCCCATTGAAATGAATGAGCGGTCCCCATAAGGATATGTTTACCCTACATATGTGTGTGTGTGTGTTTGGGGGGGGTTATGTACACTCACCTAAAGGATTATTAGGAACACCTGTTCAATTTCTCATTAATGCAATTATCTAATCAACCAATCACATGGCAGTTGCTTCAATGCATTTAGGGGTGTGGTCCTGGTCAAGACAATCTCCTGAACTCCAAACTGAATGTCAGAATGGGAAAGAAAGGTGATTTAAGCAATTTTGAGCGTGGCATGGTTGTTGGTGCCAGACGGGCCGGTCTGAGTATTTCACAATCTGTTCAGTTACTGGGATTTTCACGCACAACCATTTCTAGGGTTTACAAAGAATGGTGTGCAAAGGGAAAAACATCCAGTATGCGGCAGTCCTGTGGGCGAAAATGCCTTGTTGATGCTAGAGGTCAGAGGAGAATGGGCCGACTGATTCAGGCTGATAGAAGAGCAACTTTAACTGAAATAACCACTCGTTACATCCGAGGTATGCAGCAAAGCATTTGTGAAGCCACAACACGCACAACCTTGAGGCGGATGGGCTACAACAGCAGAAGACCCCACCGGGTACCACTCATCTCCACTACAAATAGGAAAAAGAGGCTACAATTTGCACGAGCTCACCAAAATTGGACAGTTGAAGACTGGAAAAATGTTGCCTGGTCTGATGAGTCTCGATTTCTGTTGAGACATTCAAATGGTAGTCAGAATTTGGCGTAAACAGAATGAGAACATGGATCCATCATGCCTTGTTACCACTGTGGTGGCTGGTGGTGGTGGTGTAATGGTGTGGGGGATGTTTTCTTGGCACACTTTAGGCCCCTTAGTGCCAATTGGGCATCGTTTGGGCGATGCAGTGGTTAGCAACACTGCCTCACACCTCTAGGACCGGGACTCGATCCGCTGCCATTTCTCCGTGTGTGTGGAGTCTGCATCTTCTCCCCATGTCGTCATGAGGTTTCCTCTGGGTACTCCGGTTTCCCCCCACAGCTGAAAAAACAAGCTGAGGTTAAGTAGAGTTACCAAAATGCCCATAGGTGTGAGTGTGCCCTGTGATGGGTTGGCACCCCATCCTGGGATGTTCCCTGTCTTGTGCCCTGTGATGGGTTGGCACCCCATCCTGGGATGTTCTCTGTCTTGTGCCCTGTGATGGGTTGGCACCCCATCCTGGGTTGTTCCCTGCCTTGTGCCTGTAGCCTCTGGCATAGGCTCCAGATCCCCCCCACCCCATAACCCTGAATAGGAAAGCAGGTACAGAAAATGGATGGACAATTTGTACTAGCAAAAAGGAATCGCATGTAGTTCCAAATTGAAGAAATTGACCGTCACTTACCAGAATAGTTTTCAATACCCCAGAGGTACAGCAAATTATCCCAGGGCTAAATCAGCACATCTGGGATTCAGTCTGAATAAAACCTGCATGTCATGAACTTTATGCAATTGTCATTTGTGTGAAGGCTGCTATGTGGAAACTGTTAGTGTCCAAGGCTAATGCATAAGACAACCCGATATAAGGAGCAAAAACCGTCATAAAATACAACAGAAGTTACTCATCTTTCACCTCTTTTCTTGTATTTGCACAGATTCACATTTGCAGAAGAACAAAGGATGCTTTCAACCCACTATGTCTGTTAGTTTGGGCAGCATCTCATAGGGGTCACCAGGGACAATAATTGCTCTTATTCAAAGTGACACACATTGTTTTGAAAGTAGGGTCAGAACATCCCTGGGGCAATTGAGCAAAAAGGTTGAGAGTTTAAGTTCCATCTCTACCGTGTATGTGTGTTTATATGTTTCTCTGCGTCACATCGGTTTCTCGCTGCAGCCCAAAGACATGCAGTTATCCAGGTTGTACGTACCTCAGCCTTGTGCCTTATGCTACATGGAACAAGCTCCATGCCCAGTCCACAGGGCACAAACACATTCGTGCACTATGGGCAGTTTAGAGGCTGTCTTTGGGGTGTGGCCAGAGACATGATATTGGGAGAACACAAAGATTCTACACATGCAGAGCAGAGATGTTAGGAAAATCAGCCATCATGCTGTGCCTGCCAAATCCCCAGATCTAAATATAATTTATGGGAAGTTCTGCAGAATACAACATCTCCTTCATCCCTCAGCGAACTGAAGATGGGGGATGATCTGAAGGCAAAGGGTGGCTGTATTTTCATCAATATTTTGTGACTGATTTGTCTGACTTAGTAAAAAATCTATGTACAGATGTATTACTATTTTACCGTTTTACTATAATTAGTTTTTTTTTTACCTCCCTTTAAATATAATAGCAATAAGCCCAAGATTTTCAATTTATTAAAGATAACATAATAGCTTCCGTACCCAGAACCAGAACAATTACATGAAGAGTCGATCATAATAATTAAGTTCACAACTGAATAATTGTAGTTATAATGTTATACAAACACTAATTTAAAGAATCCGAGAACGGCTCAAAAACATGTTTTAAAAATCGGCTTTCGCTGATGGAACAACCGAATTTCAGTTCAAACAATTATTATACGGGTAATTCCTGTTTTGGACCACATATTTGGTTGTCTGTTTTCTGAAAATTGGAATGATTGTATTTTATGGTTTAAACATTTTGTCAGGACTATACCATACTTAGCTATGAGGAATGCACGTTTGCCAAGCTCAGGGGTTGAAAATATTATAATTATGGGATGTTTTTTGTATATATTTCTCTAGACGTTTTCCACCCTGTTAGGGACATGTACATGGTAATCACAGAGTTTAAATAATGTAAAAGTCAAACAATACTGAACTTTTCTGGGATACAATGTGTCCCTTTTGCTATGATAAAAGTTTTATTCTTGTAGTATTAACAGTTTTAATTTTATGAAGAGTACAATGTCAGAATAATGGAATCTGTGCATTTTTTCTCCCCATTTTGTTGTTTTGTATGAGGAATTTTATTAATTAGAAATAAAAGTATATGTAGATGCATTATATGTACCTCATTTAACAAAACAATATACAAATATACCAAACACTTACTGTTGTGATTAGAATATTTTTTTAAATCATTGCCTAACAGGGTGGAATAGAATATAACAGGGTGGAACCGAGTAGGCCTCTTAACAAGTAGATTCAGATTCACAACAACAATACTACTACTACAACTAATAATAATAGTAATAGTAATAATAATAATAATACCACTGTAGTAACATAGATAATTAAGAAATACACTCATAAAATAATAATAATAATAATACTTTTTGTTTATACCATTATTATTCATTATCATACACAAGAAATACACTCAAATAGTGAAATTATAATGAAAATAATAAATATTCTAGTACAATTTCTACTCAGTAGGCTGCATATCCCATACATAGCCTAACAGGGTGGAACCTAACAGGGTGGAATATTTCTAGCTAATTTAGCTCTAGCTCTTTGAGTGAGCAACATTTAGCTAGCACACACTCTACAGCTGATCAGCATTTAAATAGCTATTTTTAACATGTTTTAAAAAGTATTTTTTCCAATAAATATTTCCTATAATATATACTAACAGGGTGGAACTTTAAGGGTGCCTCAAACCGGTGTGTAATATAAAATTGAGAAAAATACAGGAGAGAGTGACAGTTAAAGCTTACCTTAGTCTTCCAGTTGAATTTTCCCCCCAAAACAAATGATGTCACTTCGTGGAAATGGCTATATGGATTTGTAATCTTTTTAGGGAGCCAAGAAACTAGAGGCTCACAGGGTGGAAAACGAATACGGGGACGTATAATATATTATATAATTACAGAAAACAAAATAAGTTTCACCAGATTTGTTTCTTTCTCTAAAGGTAGTATACCCTAGTCTATCAAAATAATAAAGTATTGGTTTTTATAATTTTATAGTTTATATTTACTGAGGAAGTTGAATACATTGCATTTGGGACATGCTAAAATGAGCGCATATTCCAGAGAATTGGTACTTTAAAGAGATATAAAAAGATAAAAATAGTAATTTATCTTTGTTAGAGCAATATAAAACACCTATAAACACATAATAAAATAGGTTTGTTATAAAGATTTGTTACATTTTATAAAAGAATTAAGAGTCAATTAAACACGAGGACATGAATATGTGGCCCAAAACAGGAATAACCCATACGTGTATTCTTTTATGCCAAAATTTTTACTTGCACGCTTAAATATAACAAACGTAACTTCTGCATCAGAACAATTTTTTGTCCAACTAAATCAAGTTAAACTATGCGCGTCAATATCTGCTAAAGGGAAAAAATATAAAGGTCGGATTTCTATTTAAACAAAACTTTTACTTATTTTCTAAATAGCAACATATGGCAGAATGTCATATCATTGTGTAGAAGTGTGCATTGAGAAGTACAGAAACTAATTAAGGCTTTCATTCGCTGTTACAGACAAAGGGTAGCCATGTCCCTTTAATTCAAGGAGGAACGACGGTGGCCTCGGAGAATCAAAATACTTCGGTGGCCTCCGGTAATAGACAGGGCTACGCTTCGCGCTCACTATGGTGGGAAAGAGCAGCGGGGAGAGGAGTCTGGGCGAAGTCGAGGTTGAGTAGACTCGTTTTGAATTTTCAGTCTTCCTCTGTTTATTTCCACTCCCGCACTACACCCAGGGAGCAGTTTAAAGAGACAGGGTCAGAAAGGCAAATTTGCTGAAAGCATCTATTTTTTAACTCGGTCTTTATTCTTTGTCATTCAGCATTGCCCCTTAAGTTATAGTAAAATCCAACATGGCGTTCATACGAATGTGTGTTTTGTTGTCTAAAGAGGTTTTTTTGTGTCTCGATTTAATAATATAAAGCAAATTAGCTCATTATCGCTAGCTTGCTTACATCGTCATTAGGTGAAGGACGAGAAATGCACCCCAATTTCCTCCCTTTTAATTGCAACTCGCCCTTTTATATGCGTTACAGATATTCACATTAATATTTAAAACCCGCATATCTGGCTAAAATACAGTATTTATATTATCGTCAGTGTCTTTGATTACCTATATTCGTATACTGAATTAAATGCGAAATGATCTGTGATATAGATTTCGATCATGTCGGTTTTAATGTAAGTACTCTATGGTAATTGACCATAGCATTAGAATTAAGTGTAATATTAAGAACACCACTTTATCTAATTTAAAAATAATTTCTAATAGACAACGAATCGAGTGACCAATTCTAGTCAAGGAGAATGAGTTTATACTTTTGTGAATTTGCTTTCCATGGTGGTGTTTATAAATGTTCTGCTTGTTAATATAGCAGTGAGCACCGTGGTGATGTGGAATCCTCACGTTTCCTTCCCTTTTGCATCTAGGTTCATTAATGCTCCTGCGTAGTGGCCGCTGCTCGTGTGGACTGGCTGCATCGAGGCTGTCGGTCAGGTGCAGGACATGGATGAGGAGCGGCTGATGGGAGCCCGGGATCCCCCAGACACGGAGACGGCCGGCCGGCACAACACTGCACAGGTACCGCACCGTCCACGCAATCGGTTCTGCTTCATAATCAGTGAACGATGTAGCCTGTGAGCCGCAGCTGTAAACCACTGTAATCTAAATATCATTCATAATAATATTTAAAAACTGAGATTTCTGGGGTGTGTGTCAGGCTACCCCGTATCAACATAAATTCTACGCAGACGTGTAAATTAACATTAAGGCGCTGACTTTATGTTGCACGATAGGTGGCTGGTGAGATTTCTGCTCAGACCAGTCTTGACTCCCAAAAGCTACCTGTCACCTTGCTGGTTTCCGAGAGTCTCCCACCAGAACAGAAATTTATCAAACGTGGAGATCAGAGAACCCAGTCGGAGCAGTTTATCGTCTTTGATCAGAATGGGCAGCCTCTGCAGTACGAACACATGGTGAGATTTCAGAAGCAGAACATTGAAATTCAATATGGAAAAAATATTTGCACTATGCTCACGACTATGAAGAAGAAATTTAAAGTATTTTAAGTTTTATTGAGTGAGGATTATTATGAAGATGCACTATATGGACAAATGTATTGGGACACACGTCTGAATCATTGAATTCTGGTGTTTCATTCAGACCCATTGCCACAGGTGTATAAAATCAAACAGCTGTAAGTAGAATTAAAACAATGCACATCTCTGAAGTATGTAAGCCTTAATATTTGGACTAAGCAGCAGCACACCCATAATGAGACTGTCCTGGTTCTCCAGATACCCAACAACAATGAAGAAGAATAAAACACCATTATGACTACAACTCCTGATAATTGATACTTTTCATTCCAAGGGTAGCCTTGTATTATCATATTATAATAAATAGTTAAGATAAAATTCAAATAGACATTATATAAAACTTTTCAGTGTTCCCTTGGGAAACACACAAATATAAACTGTATGGTCAACTGTAAGTGGTATTATTGCAAAGTGGAAGTGTTTAGGAACAGCAGAAACACAGCCATGAAGAGACAGAGCATGTAAAGTAACAGAGTGAGGTCGCCGAGTGCTGAGGCACTTAGTGTGTAAAAGTTGCCAGTGCTCTGTTGACTCAATAACTGCAGAGTTCCAAACTTCCTCTGGCATTAACTTAAGCACAAAAACTGCACCGGGAGCTTCATGGAATGGGCTTCCAAGTGCAATGCCAAGTGTTGGATGAAGTGGTGTAGAGCACGCCGCCACTGGATTCTGGAGCAGTAGAAACGTGTTCTTTGGAGCGACGAATCGCTTCTCTGGCTGGCAGTCTGATGGCGGAGTCTGGGTTTGGCAGATGCCAGAAGAACGTTACCTGCCTGACTACGTTGTGCCAACTGTAAAGGATGGATAATGGTATGGGGTTGGGTTAGGCCCCTTAGTTCCAGTGATATGCTTCAACATATCAAGACGTTTGGACAATTCTGTGCTTCCAACTTCGTGAGAACAGTTTGAGGAAGGTCCTTTTCTATTCCAGCATGACTGTGGCTAAGTACACAAAGCAAGGTCCACAAAGACATGTTTGGGTGAGTTTGGTGTGGAAGAACTTGACTGGCTGCACAAAGCCCTGACCTCAACCCCATCAAACACCTTTGGGATGAACTAGAATGGAGATTGTGAGCCAGGCCTTCACATCCAACATCAGTGTCTGACATCTCAAATACTCTCCTGAGTGAATGGACAAAAATTCCCACACACTCCAAAAGTTTGTGGAAAACCTTCCCAGAAGAGTAGTAACTGTTATAGCTGCAACGGGGGGACCAACTCCATATTGATGCCTATGGATTTAGAATGGGATGTTGAAAAGTTCCTGTAAGTGTAATGACCAGGTGTCCCAGTACTTTTGTCCATGAAGTTTCCATCTTGGTCATTAGAGACTAGTGGATTTCTGATATGTAGTGGTATGATGGTATAGAGAGACGCTTGTTTTAAACTCAGCCTTCAATGACTGCCGATGCCTTTTGCTTACCCACGTCTCCATTGATGCAGGTGATCTTAACAGGGCAGCCAGAGAGCGGGTTGTATGTCATACCCTCCAGCCAGCTGGAGCAGGCACCGGTGCTGCTTCCCCAAGGACAGCCCATGGATGTTGCCGAGGCAACGGGTACCACCCTCTTCATCTTGTCTTTCGTGCCCTTTTTACTCGTGTGATGGAGACGTTCAGGCCAAATCTTGGGTTTCCCTATCATTTGTTACATATCAGGGCCCTGTAATGAGAGGCCGATTCAAGAACAGATACAGACAGCCGCTGTGACGACCGTCACCGAGGGTGTCTGCGGTGTAACCGTGACATCATCTCCCGTCGCCCCCGGCAAAACTGAATCAAGGTGTGCCTACAATTCATTTTGTTTCCCAAAATCACTGGCATATTATACAGTGTTTATGCTAGTAAAATTGGCCAAACTTCAAAGCAGTACATGTACTGCGATGGTAGTCAAAGCAGTACATGCATGAGTGAATTTTAACCAAATTAAATGCAGTCAGTGGCCCGTTTATTAGGTACACTAATGCAAACAGCAAATCATGTGGCTGCAACTGAATACATGCAGCCCACAGACAGGATCACGAAGTTCACTTACTGATCCAGTTTTGATCATCTGATTCTTGTTGCCAGGCGTGATGGTCCCACATCTCAGAACTCACCATCCTAAATGGGATTCTTTTGTACAATTCAGGATCTCTGTAGAGTACGGTGTACAGAGAATGGTGTGACTGTCATGTGCATGTACACTTTGGTAGTGAGAAAGGTCAGAGGAGTATGGCCAGATTCATTAAAGCTAAGAGGAAGGATTGCAGCCACCAGTGGTGTGCAGAGTGGTGGAGGCTCAGTCCGTCATTAGCTAGGTGTACCTAATAAAGTGGCCACTGGGTGTATGTTGTGCTGGGAATGGCCCCGCTGGCATGGCACATGTCTCATGCCCTCTGTGTTTTTCCGTCTCACCCAGCTCCCCTGACTGCTTCATGGCCCCAGTACGGCCCCTGCCTCCCAGTGCCCCAAGCTGGGCTCATAGACTGTGCGGCTGTGAGGTCAGCACATGCGAGCACTGCTTACACAGACACGGCCAGGGAATTGCACACCTGTTTCAGATGTACACAGTGTTATATGTCTGCACTCGCTAGCGCATGTAATGAATGGGAGGTATGTGTGCTCAGCCCTCTGTGTTGGTACTTCCTTGAGCAGAAGATCGGGGAGGCCTACCGTGGTTTCTGCAGCACCGAGGCGGAGCTGGAGGCCGTGCTGATGCTGCACAAACAGCAGACCCACAGTGTGTTTGGGACCCGCCAGTCTCCATCCCCTGCCAAACCTGCCACACGTCTTATGTGGAAGTCCCAGTACGTGCCCTATGACGGAATCCCCTTTGTCAACGCAGGTGAGCCGCTGGCAGCCGTGACGTGACGGGTATCGCCTGCCATTAGGGCCATATTGACATAGTCATGGGTCCCCAGTAACTGGGCTGGTGTCACCTTTGTGACTCAGTGCCAGGTTATGTGTGAACAGTCCCTGTACTTGGAACGAGTCACGGTTGGAGACTCGCATCATGGGTCCCGCTCAGTGATGTATGACTGCTTCGTGCGGTGCCAGGATGGGTCTGCCTGTGTCCCATCTGTGTGACCTTCCAGGCAGCAGGGCTATCGTCATGGAGTGCCAGTTTGGCCCGCGGAGGAAAGGGTGCCAGCCCAAGAAGGTGGCTGAGCCAGAGGATGGCCAGAATTATCAGTACAAGGCTACCTGTCCTGCCAGGTAAACTTCACACACATCTCTGTATGGCGGGGAAGAAAATTCACTGTACTAATAATTAATTTAATTAGTTTGAATACGAAGAGGTTACTCGATTACTTGGAGTATTCTGCAATTTTCATTTAACAACTTGTCTAAAAGCTCGTAGTCCCTTCAGACTAGTAATAAGCAGAATCTCTCTCATAATGTTTTGTTTTTTCTTGTAGGATCTATATCAAAAAGGTCCGGAAGTTTCCGGAATACAGGGTGTCCACTGACCCCAAGGTAGACAAGAAGGTGGTCCGTCAAGAGCAAGAGAAAGCCTTTTTCAACCTGAAGAAAAACTTGTGGGAAGCGGGCGGAGTCCTGAGGTAGAGGACGTAAGAGTCTCTGGAGTCGGCGGTCACCTTTGGCGTACGTGTCACACGATGTCACCCCTGAAAGTGTGCTGGATGCCCACAGGTATTACGTTCAGCTGCCCACCATGAAGGCCCATCTGTACCATGACGTGGACGCACCGGCCCTGCCCCCACCTCCCTTGCAGCTCCCCCTGCCTCACAAAGAGGAGCTGCTGGAGGAGGAGGAGGAGGAAAAGGAGCCAGATGGCAGGATGGAACAGGAGACGGGTGACGGTGAGCAGGTGGAGGTGCCGTCACGGCTGCACCCCCGCGTCGCGGAGAAGATCTGTGAGCTGGTGGCACAGGGTCACCACCAGGTCTACATGGTCCGCAAGCAGCTCAGGTCGGTTATCTGTCATCCTCATGACCACCCGGAGTCCTGGAGCTCTGTAGACCCAAACATTTTGGCTGGTACAACCCCTTCACTTCACTGTGCTGCAGGAAGTTTGTGGAGAGAGAGATGTTCAAGTCGGACGAGGTCCCCGAGAGGCACAACCTCTGCTACTTTCCTACGGTCAATGACATCAAAAACCACATACACGAGGCCCAGAAGGCTTTGCAGCAGAGCAGGGCTGACCACAGTGCTGCTGCCGCGGAGACGCAGGTCAGAGCACTTAACCCTTTGGATGGTTTTGACCTCTAGAGGAAAAAGATACAGTACAGTTCTACCAACTGTTGATACCTTGAATGATCCAGCTCTCCTGTTGCTCTGCCCTCTAGTGGACAGCAGAGAGCGAAAACCCTCTGGCCGAGACTGTGACCTTGACGCTGACCTCTGCTCCTGTGGAAGGTCAGCTTCCCCCGCTCAGTCTAATACAGCAAACGGTGATAGAAACCTGCAGCACTGCTCAGAACCATTGTCTGTGTCGCCGTGTGTGTCAGAGAGCCAGAAAGCTGCCGTGCTGGAGGGGAGTGACACGCTGTCCTCGGAGGCTGTCCAGCTGTTCAGCTCCCTCACCTCCCTGCAGCCAAAGATCTTCGCTCAGCTGCGTGTGAGTAAGACCCCGTCCCAGGTCTATGGGTACGGTCAGATGCAGCATCACAGCTGCTCTTGCCGGCTTGTCAGTAACCTCGATGCTCCTGCTCTGACAGAGTATCCAGCTGCAGCCTGTCTTATGTCCAAGTGAAGGACATCCAGCTCAATCACCTTCTGCACCACCATGCTCCGGATCTGATCTTCTGGGCCCGTCCAGTCCCACCCAGTTCTTGCAGTCCAGCGCGTCCCTCGCTGAGGGTATCTCCCTGACAGACACCTCCACGCTGCTGGGCGTGGGCCAGCTAATGAGCGTGTCCGTCCTGGGGGAAGGAGGCGCCGATGCCGGGGTGCAGCAGATCCTCCTGGGCGAAGCGCAGGCCATCCCAGTGCAAATCGTGGAGCCAGTCATCGTTGGTAAGCCAGAGTGCATTCCGCCATGACGTGGTGACACAGGGAGGGCAGAGGAAGTTACGATATACTTTACTGATCAGCCACGAGGTACATAAAGTGTGCAGATATGAACACAGTGTAAAAACAAAGTACGATGACGATATTCTGCAGGAAATAAATGTGGATGTTAAGGGGGGTATTTCAGCAAATAGCCCGTGGGGTACAAAATACATACGAAAATTTGTGGATTATGACTTTTTTTTCCTTCTAAATACAAGATGATCCCTAAGTACATGGGACGGGTGGCAACCACACCCCCAGTGTTCTGTGGTCCGGTGTAATACTGACCACGGACCAGACTGGTACCAGTCTGCAGACCAGGGGCTGGGAACCCCGATCTGGCGAATGAAAATCAAAAATACTTTCTCTGCTTATAAGTACTTTGACTTGGGGTATGAATATCATTCTCACACATGTGCACTTACGCAGGGGAGCACCAGCTGGTACACACTCAGGTGAAGGAGGAGACAGAAGACAGCAGCATCTACCCGCCACATTCTCCTGGGGACTGAGAAGCGGCCGCGGTGTGACTGAGCTGCAGGCTCAGCGTCGGACACGCGTTGGGGGCGGAGTGAGCGTGTGGAAGGCTGCCCCACCCCCACGATATGGCGGAGACGACAGACGGCACTTCTCTCAGGACCAGACGTCCGGGATGTTAGGCCACTGCTACCAGTGGTCTGCAGTGATGATGCGGACAGCCTTGCTGAAGAAGAGGGATTAACCAATGAACTATGCAACTGCATTCTGCTCCAGCTATCGCAGAGATGGAGTGGCGTTTGTCATACGTTGTTTCTTCCTCTCTGTTGGTAAAGATGTTGCTTCACAGCCCATCAGAGACTATAAATTCCTCCAGCTGCCTAACTGGCATCTACAGCACTGTAAACAACTCAAGTTTATAACTTAACATCTGGCAAAGGACACCTATCTTATTTTTGCAGTTTGAGCTTTGGACTTAAAGGTCAATGGCACATGAAGCTGTGTGATGCTGAGTGGTACACTGGTATGGTCCTGGAAGCTTTGTAGGGTGCGCCGGATCTTCTCAAGCAGTGTTTCTCAGTTCGGTCCTTGGGGACCACCAGCCGGTCCATGTTTTTACAGGAGTGCGGAGGGAGCAAAAATGTGGAGCTGGGAGGGGGCAAAAACATGGACTGTTTGGGGGTCCCCAAGGACCAGGTTGGGGAAACAGTGGTGCAAAGGCCAGTCATACTCTGGCCAAAAGTATTGGGATATCTTTCCATCTTGGTCTTTAAAGGCTAGTGGCTTTCTGATATGTAGTTTTTCTATAAAACAAGTATGGACTAATGTGAATTTCTAAAATGAGTGAGACGTTGACACTGGAAGACCTGGCTCATGATCCCCAGTGTGTAGCTGGTCCTCCACTCTGCTTCCGTGGCCCCCCAGGATCGTGCCACCCATGCGAGTTTGAACCCTAATCTTATTACTGATTTGCACTAGTGCTGGACCATCATCTCCCATCTGCCAAAGATACACAATACAGGTAAACTGGTAACTCCCATCTGGCTTTATAGTGTAAAGCAGGGTTTCCCAACATGGTCTGTGAGGACCTGCAGATGATCCACATTTCTGCTCCCTCAGGACCAGACGGGGAAACGCTGGTGTAAAGGATTAACTGTGTGGAATCGGGCACCTCGCTTGGACTGCTGCAGCCTTTTTAATAATCAATTGGTGAAAAGCTGCTGTCTAAGTTAATGTTTGGTATATCACTAATCATCACAACACAATATCCAAATAGGAGTTATTCTGGAACCATGTAAATACTCCTGGAAGCAGTTCACTAGCTCATTACCTGGCCTAACATCAACTGAAAAAGCTTTAAATTTATAGCCTTAGGGGCAGTTTATTACTACAAATTACAAGATCTGTTCCCCAAGTCTGTCAGATTTATAGCTAAACACAACACAGTAAAATCGATTATATATGGTACTGTGCTGTACTGTATCCCCAGCTGATGAACCGTTGAAGCCATGGAATGTTTTCATGACTCAAAGTGTGTGGGTACCTTATGAACCTTTGTACTTCACTCAGATGTTTAATAATCTAGGCTTTATGGCATCCTGTAAGTATGAGTTATCTGTAAGCTGGACATTAACTGGAGGACAGCCTGTACACTACAACTACTAAATTCCAGATGACCACTCCAGGTCTCAGGAGATCCACCTATCCCGGAGGAGATAAGACTGGAAGTCTCAAACTGAAACGACGGAGGTTCCGTATTTACTGAACACTGTTTACATTCACCGTGAAATTAAAGCCTCTCTAACACCCCAGAACATTCCAAAAGAGATCAGGACTCATTGTGGAGGGGAAAAAAGTTCTCAAACATATATTTAAAGATGCAGCCAAAATAGGAAATGAGCCGCCGGGGCAAACTCTGGTCTCCTGCACTAAGACATGGCATAAAGGTCATTCACACAATGCTTTTCGGTCCACTGAACACAAAAAACCAAATACCATTATGTATTATCTGATCTAGAAGGTGATCCAACGTCCTGTATTCAGCACCCAGATATTCAGGTCCTAAAATTCACCTCAGAAATATCTGGGCATGTGCAATAGCAAACAAAAACTAAAGTCAGTTTTCGCTCAGTCCTCTTCCTCCTCCTTGATTTTCTTTTTCTTCTTCTTTTTCTTCTTTTCTGTTGTCTGAAAGACCAGGAGGCTCCTTTTAGCACAAGGCACAATTGACAGTTAAAATGGCAGCGCTGCATTCTTACGGTTAACCCAGGAGTGCGTGGCCCGCATGCTGACTGCGCAGGGAATGCAGGCGGCCCGCGTGCTGACTGCGCAGGGAATGCAGGCGGCCCGCGTGCTGACTGCGCAGGGAATGCAGGCGGCCCGCGTGCTGACTGCGCAGGGAATGCAGGCGGCCAGCGTGCTGACTGCGCAGGGAATGCAGGCGGCCAGCGTGCTGACTGCGCAGGGAATGCAGGCGGCCAGCGTGCTGACTGCNGGAATGCAGGCGGCCAGCGTGCTGACTGCGCAGGGAATGCAGGCGGCCAGCGTGCTGACTGCGCAGGGAATGCAGGCGGCCAGCGTGCTGACTGCACAGGGAATGCAGGCGGCCAGCATCCCGCAGCCAGAGTACATCCGTCAGGGCACTCACCTCTTCACTGGCCGGGGCGACCTCCACCTCTTCCTCTGCCACTTCCTCAGGCTCCTCCACCACTTCTGCCTTTTCCTTCTTCTTCTTCTTTTTCTTCTTGGGAGTTTCCGTTTCCATTTCTGCCTCAGCTTCTGTAACAGGAAGGTGATCTCAGTAACACCAAAGGCTAAGCGCTGGTTTGAGCCTTGTTTTAGTTTCATAAGTGGTGACGAAAAAAAAACATTGACTAAATTTGAAAGTCACAGCGGTCATAATCCATCACTGATGTTCTACGGACATTATTTGTATGGCCAGTTTTTTTCCCCCCCAAGTGTTGCAAAAGTGATCCTTTATAATCCCAATCTGACTGTCAGCAGCTGTGTGTTGTATGTAGTCTGCAATAAGACTCAAGTAACTCTAATGTCAAAGAAACAGCCAATGAGAAAGTGCAGCTGACCTTGTGGTACAGATTCCTTTTTAACCTTCTTGGGTTTGACTTCCACTGGCTCCTCGCTCTCCTCTACTTCCTCAAACCGCCTCTTTTTGGAGGCCGTGGGGATCGTGGAGTCAGCAGAGGGATCGTACACTTTGACGTCGCTGAAGGGAAACGCAGCGTGAAGAATCCACGGGACACAGGCTCAGTGTAGTAATGCAGCCTTTAATTTACTGTCACTGGGATATGAAGAGGATGCAGACACCCTACAGTGCCACACTCAGGAGTGTTGGAGAAAACCGTTCGGTCAATACGGCACACTGCAGTGACAAACTACAGTAACCTTTAAGGATTGCAAGGCAGAGTATTCTAATATCAATGCATGATAGCCATCTACTACCACCACACAACTATTCTATCCTACTCACTGTACAATTTTGCCATTCTCGGGGAGGTAAAGCGAGAGCAACCTACCAGTTGCAGGATGGTGATGGAAACTCACCTCTTGTGCTGGTATTTGTCAGCCCTGGCCAGTGCTTTTCCTGCCCCACTGATACGTCGGATCTGGAGGAGGAGGTCAGTTAGTCACTGGAGCCCTGATTCGAGCTTAAACCCATAATTCTGGATAAGACTACAATCATCTTCTGCATGTAATACAACACTGCAAGCTGGTGGGTGTGATAGAAGACCGAGACGTACCCCCTTCTCCTCGAGCTGCCGCAGCCTGACCTCCAGCTTGGCGCGGTTCTCCACACCCATCTCCGCGTTGGTATCCTCCCCGAGAGCATCGTAGCGGATAGCCAGTGCCGCCTTGGCAGCGAGCATTCTGGAGATCTGCAGAAGGATGACACCTGAAGCTAAAGCCAGGACTGCGACTCGCCTTCCCAGCTTCCTGAGTCTTAGCCTCGGTAATCACTTCAGCGCCTTAACCCCTGGCAGAGCAGGACCTCACCTTGCCCTTATTCTTAGCTGTGGTCTGACCCACGAGAGAGGCGTGGTAAATGAGCCCATATTTCGGGGTGTCTCGCTTGGTTTTCAGTGCCCTGAAGAGGGCCTTCTCAGCCCCCAGGATCTGAACCGTGGAGGCCGGGTGCTTGGCCAAGTTCAACAGAGACCCTGCCAACAACAGAGGGGGGCTTTAGAATCAACAGCACCCATCCAAAGCAGAACCGGAAAACGAAACAGGACGTGCCTATGAGAGATAAGCAGATTAAAGCTCAGATGAGGTAGTGACAGAAAACCCACATGTTGTTTCGGGGTTGTGACAGTATGTCCTTATCATCACCGCTTGTCCCACATCTCTAATATTCCGGCTGCCTACTGGGGACCCACCTGCATGCGCAATCAGCCGAGCCCCCACCAGCTCCCCCACCATGACCGTCAGATTGGGGGCGATGGCCATCATGCGGTTCTTCAGGTAGTCGTACAACTGCGCACGGTATTCTGAAATCTCGATCACCTGCACAGACGCCAACCATTAATTTTGCGACCAACGAGAAAACAGCAGCTAAGCTGGCGGAGAAGGCTCCTCGGGACTGATGAGCGGAAGTTCAGATGAGGTAGTGACAAAAGACCCACATGTCCTTTTTCGGGGTAGAGACTTAAGTCGTCATCATCACCACTGTCACACGCAATCAGGGGATCACGACAGAACGGATATTCCATTCCTGAAACCACACACCTGGTCACACAGGTGCACGATGTTGCAGATGTCCTGCTCCGACACCTCTGTCCCCATGGAGATCTCTGCCGCCAGCTTGACCTCCGCCTCCACCTCCTCGGGTAGGATGTCCGAAAGGTCGGTACTTGCCACGTTGGTGCGGTCACCTAGGTGGCAAAACAAAGAGCCAAACCAGAGATAATTCAGAAGGCAATAAGTCGAATATGCACATGTATACTCAATCACACCAGAACCATAAGCCAACCATTCCTACTAACTGCAAGAAAGGACTCGAGATGAGGCTCTTACCGATCTTACGGATGGCCTTGCAGTACGCCAAGTTGTCAGTTACAATCTTTCCCAGCTCAGGGAAATGCCAGCCATACCACTCCCTACAGCGCATAATGTAGTTGTTCAGTTCCTTGTCCAGGTCATCCAGAAGAGCTGAGGGGGGTTGCAGGCAAGGAGATGCAAGCAGAACACTTACTTACACTGAACATATAGTCTTAGAACAGCGAGGTGTTCGCAGGCAGTAAGACCATATTCAGTTTTAGACTGCTGACATTGACTATGGGCACAGCATCTTTGAGTGTGATGTACTTACAGATGGCTTGCACAATCATGGTGTCCACTTTGTCAGGGCTGAACTTGAGCTTGTATCGAGAGAGGCTGCGAAGGAAACAGGGTTCGAGTGAAAAGGGGGGTAAATGAAGAATCAAATCCCAGTGAGTGGTTAGCAGGTTATGCCAGTAATGAGAGCTGCTGTCTCAGTGGTAGTGACGAATGCTGAAGGGAATCTTCACGAGTCGTCAGCCAGCAGAGTTAATCACAGAGAGCAGCTCGGGCTACGGCAGAGGAGCGAGTCGCACCTGTGCGCCAGACCCAGGGACATGGCGCTGAAGTCGCGCGGGGGCAGCCCCGTGATCAGCCCCTCCATCTGATTCCGGATGCCCCTCATGAGCTCGGCGACAGCGGGGCTGTGCACACAGCTCAGGTTCAGCTTTTCCTATCAGGGAAGAATAGCCTCTTAACACAAAAATCACAACAGACAGCCAGTACAGTGAGTACATACAGTCAAAGCTCAATGGTTCAGGCCTAAAATAGTAGCTCCCTACTCCTGGAGATCAAGCACCCTGCAGAGTTTAGCTGCAACCCTAATTGAAAATACAGTATTGGAGCCAGCTTAGCTTCAACATAGCTGGCTCTGAGAGGCCACTGAAGAGTCTGATTATCTGTATCAGGTGTGTTCAGTTAGGGCTGCACCTATGCTCTGCAGGGTTGGACTGCCCAGCCTTAAAAGTTATTGCAGTGCCTTAAATCCTGACAAATAACTGGTTCCAAGAGGTAAACACCATAATTCGGTTAGTACAAGGCAGGAGTCTTCAACTCAGAGTTACAGTCCAGTAGGTCTTCTATCCTACCTGGCTTCGGACGAGCCACACCTTTCATAGGTAAATACTAGGAGCAGGTGTCACTCATCAGAAGCCAGGCAGGACAGAAAACCTCTGGAGAGTAGCTCTTCAGGACAGGGTTGGAGACCCCTTGTATGCGGGCATTTACCAAGGTACAAAGATGTGACATCCAATGTAATGTGTGAGGAAATCAATTACAGCAGAAAAGTCCACCAACCTTAATGACTCCACCCAGTTTGGCATCATGGATGGCCAGCTGCTCATGGGCCTCTTTGGCCACAACCTTCTTGAGGACTTTCTTCAGGCTCTTCCCAATCTTCCCCTCCACCAGTGCTGTGGCAGCTGCAGAGAAAATGTGCAATGGGGACTGTCAGGGAAAAACAGCACATCGCCAATCTTTGGCTCTTAATTTAATCCCATATGTGAAGCACTTTGAGCTACATGTCATGTATGAAGTGTGCTAAATACAAATAAATCAATAATACTACTGGAAAAACCCCACTGCATATATTACACAGCAGTTCCACATGCGGCCGGCTGTCATCTCAGTGGTAGTGACGAATACTGCTGAATTACATCATGGCTGATTCAGACACAGAGATACATCACTGATGACAGCCCCAGTGGAATGGCAGGGGCACTGAGGAGCATCAACATTAATGGTGTACAGACAGGCACTTGGGACTGAATGTGCCCACGGTCATCTTCAGCTTTCCCACTGGCAGGCGTGAATACCCCACACGTAAGGCCAGTTTACCAGAGCTGCTTTTAGAATGACGTGCGGCACACAAGTGCAGAGAAAGTAAAAATACAATGTGACGCACAGAAGTGAGAACAGCTATAAGGGAGGATGTTTGCTTCAGTAATTTTCACATTTAGGTAACTCCAAATGATCAAGCTTTTAAACCAAAGTGATGATTTAAAGTTTCACATCTGGAACACCATGCAGAATCAGTTACACTGCATGATGAAAGCAATGATGACCTTCTGCCCGTCAGTGGTGAAAGTGCAAAGAAATACGGACAGATAGTAAAGTGACTGATACCTGCTAATGCTTCTGTGGTGTCCTGGAACTTCTCGAAATGTTTTAGTTTAACTCTGCAGAGAAAAAACAAAACTAGTTAGCAGTTAACCAAGGAACAACAGAAATTAGAGGAAGCATTAAGTTATTTGAATGTGAAAACACATACTGCAGTACATGTGGGTTCCATTGTTGAATTTTTAAAAATATGCTTTCAAAATTTTTCCCAAATCTTCGTAATGGTCTATCGCGAAATTATCACAGGGCAAGTCATTACATTCAATCTCCATACTTCAAAATCACAGGCTTGCTTAAAAAGATAACAGAGGTTGTGAATTAATTACATTTTATTCGCTTTCTCTGGCGTTTCGAACTCTTTCCAAAGGCTGTCGACCTCTTGCAGCTTCTGCTCATCTAAGACCTAAAAAAGAAAATACTTCAGTGAACTCGTTCCCTCGCGCCATGTGATACCGACACATGCATCTTACCAACCCATGATGCATAAATGACAATGGGTTATAAAAAGTAAACGATCACAATCGCTGTAAAGCCTACAGCACCATAAATCAAATCTGTAACTCTAAAGTTTCGATCTATTGCAAGAAACCAGAATAACGTAATTTCAATCAGAATTAGTTACCCTAACCACAAGGCCTACATTTTCGAACATCCATTCCGCATTTTGTTATATATCTCTTATTGTGTTATTAAAACATATAATATCTTATTAAAATTTAGACACCGATAAAATTTCTATTGCATTACTAAGTATATTCGAAAGTAGTCAAGGATGAACTCACGTGTTCAAATACGTGGGCCACATGTGTTAGCGACAACCGCTAATCAGTACATTTCTTTTTATTTCAAGTTATATACACAGGTTTCTTTACAAAAAAGGAAATAACTTACTTTAAAAATAGCATAGCCCGCAGCAGTCTCAAAGAGCACCAACATCTTCAATTATATTTATTTTCCTTCCCCGGACTCCAACCCTACTCCAAGCCCTGACTGGAGAAGAAAAATGCCCGCAAACTTCCACGAGGCCGCTAAGTCGGTGCGTGTTTACGTCACACGTGCGTGCGCGCCGAAAGACGCAAGGAATCCACCATCTTTGTGAGGTCCACTTTCACGAAAAATAATCCTACGTGAATCAGCCTAGAGTTATTTTACTGCAGGGGTCACCAACATGGTGCCCGCGGGCACCAGGACGCCCCCAAGGACCACGAGTCGCCCACGGACCTGTTCTAAAAATAGCACGACTCACCAGTGAGCAGCGTCTAAAATTTAATTTTATCCTTTTGCTATTCTTCTATAAATCACATTTGCATTTACAGACGCTCCTCTACTTACGAATGAGTTACGTTCTGAACGGCCGTTCGTAAGTCGTTATTCACCATTATTTTAAGGGTATAGGCCTACGCATGCACAAAGAACTGGGATGCAGGGAGTACGCACGCTACGCTGCTGCGCGGCAGGAGTAGCGGCCTGAAGTCGTACTAGGCGGATTAGCGTGCAGAAAAAAAAAATGATGTTGCGGACAGGAAACGGGAGCCCAAGGAACACAATTTGGACTTACAGTCCTCTTCGTTCGCATGTCTGAAAGTTCGTAAGTTGAAAGTTTGTAAGTAGAGGAGTGTATGTACACTAAATGTACAACTAGAGAAATATCAAAAAACAATAAGAAAAAAGTTCAAAGACCGCAATACGACTTTCTGTGACAGTCGGTGCAAGGGTAGCTGAGTGTGCAAAATACAATTGAGGTGAAAAAGGAGTGAGATATATTAAGAGGAGAGAGAGTGAGTGTGTATGCGTGTGTGCAGTTTCTGGTTGTCCATTTTATGTGTTGCTGTTAAGAAGTCTTATTGCTTGTGGATAAAAACTTCTCCTGAAGCGTTCCATCTGGCCCTTGAGGCTGCAGAGGCGTGTCCCTCACCTTAGCAGTCTGAACAACAGTCTGAACAATTATACACAAATTGAACAAATAAATAGTATTTTACATCTGTCCATATGCTTTTGGTCAGCAGAGCCCAGCTCAGAGGAGTCACAGTTGCCCTGGATCCAACCTCAAGTCTCCACTGCCAGCCCGACCGACAGCCGCCTGAGACAACGTTGGCAACCAAGAAGGGCGGGAGCTCAAGGGGGCTCCAACTGCTTCCCTGCCAGAGAGGTGTTTCAGTGCATCAGCTGCAGGGAGCCGGGGCACGACCAGCAGCGGCAACATGCTGAGGCTGCAAAGAGCAGCAGGAATGTCAGCAGGGGAAACAGCCTGACAGTCAGCATCAGGTGCCCTCAAAGCCATGCAATCCAAAGGCCAACGCCTAGGGGGACCTGCACCGCTATCTCTCGCTAGCAGCACAGAGTCCGCCAGTCATCCTGTCTCCCCAGTCTCGCCAGCACCTGCTCAGCAGCCCACCTTGGCCAGCAGTCCCCAGCTTCCCACCGCTCATTAACAGCTCGCTTCCATGGTTGCCGGAGGGGGCGCACCAACGGCTGCCTCCAGACCTCTGGGACTTCCTTCATTAGAACTAAGGGGCCTAACCCAACCCCTGAAACACAACCCCATACCATTATCCCTCCCAAACTTTACAGTTGGCACAATGCAATCAGGCAGGTAAAGTTCTCCTGGCATCTGCCAAACCCAGACTCGTCCATCAGACTCCCAGACAGAGAAGTGTGGTTTGTCACTGCACAGAATACGTTTCCATTGCTCTAGGGTCCAGCGGCGATGTGCTTTGCACTACTCTATCTGATGCTTAGCATTACCATTGGTGATGTGAGGCCTGCATGCAGCTGCTCGGCCATGGAAGCCCATTCCATGAAGCTTCCAGTGCACAGTTTTTGTGCTGGAGTTAAAGCCAGAGGAAGTTTGGAATTCTGCAGTTATTGAGTCAACAGAGTATTGACAACTTTTACACACTATGCGATTCAGCAGCCCCACTCTTACTTTATGTGGTCTGCCCCTTTGTGGCTGAGTTTCTGCTGTTTCTAAATGCTTCCACTTACAGCTCATTGGACTGTCTAGCAGGGAAGAAATATCACAAACTGACTTATTGCAAAGGTGGCATTGTATGACAGTGCCACATTTGAATTCACTGAGCTCTTCAGAACAACCAATCCTTTCACAAATGTTTGTAAACCTGACTGCATGACTAGGTGCTTGATTTTATACACCTGTGGAAATGGCTCTGAATGAAAGTCCTGAATTTAATGATTAAGATGTGTCTTCCCATACTTCTGTCCATATAATGTGTTTCTCATAGCTTAACGTGTACTCCATATGAGTCAATATATGATTAAATGTCACATATGCATGAGTCAAGCGAGTTTCACTGATTAGTTAATTCCTGAATACTTTTGTTTTGATTATGTAGGGCACAGCAATAGGAGGAACGCGCGTGCCGGTATCCGTGATTTTATTTTAATAACCAAATGCAAAACCATCAAACATTAATTATATTTTAAAATATTCACGCGCGTATTAAAGAAATATATTAAACAATGATATGTGCAGACTATATGGAAGCTTTAATACCCCAATCCAATGGGCACAATTTACTCGTAATAATTTAAATACAAGGGTCTATTCATCAGGAGAATTAAATAATTTAAATTAAATTTAGGGGGCACACGAACCCCCACCCCGCCTTGTCCTACCCTTGCCTCGGTTTTTACAAGATAACATACATAAATCTACATCGCACCTCAGACACTTCTGTAAGACTAACTTAAACTTAAAACTGGAAGTTCACCGCAACGCGTTTTACAGAACTGAAACTTTCCAGGCTCCGTTACGTGTAGGGGACGTATTTCCGGCGGAAGTCCCGCCCCGACTCCAATCAGGTCAGACCTTCTGTCTGTATTGGCGATCGGAGATAAACAGAAGTGTACCGTCTTTAAATTTTCAGTTTGCGCTGTAGATTGTGTTATCAGTAAGTACAAAGAATATGTCAGACACGGTAAGTGAGAGCTGCATGTCGAATTGCATTTTAATGTGATGAGTGTTAAGTTAAACTGGGTTAGCCAGCTAGGCTGTTACTGATAGCTTGTTAGCAGTGAATGCGCGACGTAACTAAATGATTTTTATATTGACTCAACGAAGTATGATTATGTATGTCTCCACGTTCCCGTTTCTGTATTGTAAAAAGTATTTTTTTTATAAATGGGGAAAGCTGTGTTGAACCCCCACTTATTCAGCCAGTCAGCCAGTTGTCTTTGTAGCTAGCTAAACAGATTCCAGTAAGCAAAAACAGCGTTAACTTTCTCCTCTTGGCTGCGGAGGTGTGGTGCAGGCTGCTGTGCTGTCGATCGGCTGGCAGAAGAAACGAATCTGAAACTACTGACTTACGTGTTTTGATTGTAATTGCTAGCAGTCAGTTCTCAATCCCTTACATACTTACCCTGAAAAATACAGCCTGGCATGCTTTGTGTACGATCATGTAGTAGTAGCGGTTTTGTATGATCATGATGTGAATCACAAATCTGTACTTTGTATAGTATCACGGTAGTAGTTTTTTTTTTTTTTTTTTTGCTTGATATAAAATATAATTGTGTTATGTATTCACAGTTCTCCCACTTAAGCCTTGAGGGGGTGTGTCGATGCGACTCTTTAACGTTAAGAAAGAAAACGTCACTTAAGCCTTGAGGGGGTTGCATTTTGTTGGTTGACCCATACAGCAAAAAAAACGACAGTGTTTCTTAACTGAAATATTACCACATTATTTCAATCGCACAGATTAAAACTGGTTTGAGAATGTGGTAAAAGTAAACACTGAATCGGAAGTAGTTTTTTGAGTGTTCAGGGTTTGCTTTTTTAATATCTTCACTGTACACAAAGCCAAACATTGTCATATTTGTCCCGTAGTAGAATAATAGAACAAGCTAAAGTTATGCTTTATTGGCCTTTTTGAGGTAGATCAGCATAAATGCCCAAGTTTAAACATGCCCTTTTTACCATATTAATTTTTGTTGTTAGTGTTTATTGCTAATGTACTATCTTGTTGAGGACACACAATTAACTGTTTTATTGTGTACAATATCATGGTTTAAAATTATCTCAGGAAACAAAACCCTCAAGCCAAGATTCTGCAGACAAGAAGGATGGGGAGTACATAAAGCTGAAGGTGATTGGACAGGTGAGTGGTGTGTGGATGTATGAATGGACAAACCCTTAGTGAAGGTTCTGAGAAAACAAAACATAGGAGAAAAGATGGCTTTGTACGTTTAAATCCTTTCAGTGAACCATGTGTACTAGAGATGCTCCTATTCGGTATTCGGATCAGCACCGATGCAGTCCTGTTAGATGCATATGTGACCTGTCCATGTCCTATACTTACTTTTTTAGCTTTCTGCAGTATACAGACTGATAACTCCTATTTCTTATTAAATAGATTTGCACAACGACAGCTCTTTCCCATTTTAGATATGTTTTTTGCAGCATTCAAGTTGAACACTAACGCTGCCACTCAGTTTTTTTGCCACTCTGTGGGTGTGAGAGCAGTGACTTCTGCCTGCAGTGATGTCATGTTCATACACTTTGCAGTTCAAGGGAGCGTAAAAACATCAGATAAGAGGGTGACGACCTGGAAGTGTATTAAGCTTTTAACAACAACTAGTAGTACAGCTATTGGCAATCTTTATAAAAGCAAGGTTTTGAGAAGTAGAAGTAGCGTTTAGTGGAAAATCACACAATTGTGTGAGATAACAGAAGTAATATGGGAAAAAAGCAATGGATGATTTGGGATTTGCTAGCTTGGGCTGTTTTGCACACTTGCTACAGCTTGTGATACACAAGGAGCTGCTATCGCAACAAACTGTAAATGATGTGTTGCCAGTGGGAGAAGAATGTGGGGCATTTTAAGCATTTAGCAAAGCGCTTGGAAGATATTCATATTCTGCATATTCAACTGCATATGCTTCCAAAACGCTTAAAACTAGACGTACAAATGAGCTGGAACACTGCATTATGTATGTTACCAGAATACCAAAATATTAAATAAATATTTATAACATATAATATAATATATATATAAAAAATCGTAAAGTAAAAAGAACTCTTTTTAACCAGATTCTGTATCAGTATTAGCAGCTGTGTATTGGAATCAGACCAGAACTGAATAAATGTGGATCAGCCCATCCCCAATGTGTACTATTCTGTAATTTTCATTTTCTCAGGATAACAGTGAAATTCATTTTAAAGTCAAAATGACGACGCATCTAAAGAAATTAAAGGAGTCCTACAGCCAGAGACAGGTAATTCTAACTGAGAGATGCATGATTATTTATCAATTAGAATCGGCTATTCAAATGTAGATTATTTTTGTGATCTACTGCTTTGTCTCTCCCCAGGGTGTGCATATGAGTTCCCTAAGGTTTCTCTTTGAAGGACAGAGAATCTCAGACAACCACACTCCAAAAGAGGTGCGTTACATCATTGGATGTCAGCTTTGATCCCTGTGTATGACGTGTTCTCCAAATATGGTTATCTATACATTCTGTTATCCTTCACTTCCTGGTCTCCCTTCTTTTATCAGCTGGGAATGGAAGATGAGGATGTCATCGAAGTGTATCAGGAACAGACTGGTGGACTTTGGATCATTTAGACTTTCTATATCTCATCTTTTTAATTATTTTTAATTATGATGTTGTTTTTTGTTAGCCTTAATAGAAGGCTTTAAGAAACATCTTCACAGAGGGCTTTTGTGAGCCAAAATTAGGACAGGTATGGAGGTTGTGGAGGATTGAGTAGTGGCTGGGGTCGCCCTGCCCTACCCCCTGCCCCCCAAGCCTCAACACCTTCTCACCCTCAGTGTTTGACTGCTGATAATGGGCACTAAATGGGTGACAATGCAATATGGCCTGTTGATCTTGGCCATCAGAATTGGCTTAAGGCTCCATTCTTCACTCTGCCATTTTTGGAGGGATCTGCTTTCCACAGTAAGTACAAATAATGGAGATATGTTCCTTCCATCTAATACCAGAAAGGTGAAATATGGTTGAAATTTTATTTCTTCAGGAGATTATTAGAAGCCACCACCTTGTCCCAAGGCTCTGAAGCTTACCAATCAAGTCAATAGACATACTTATCTTAAAAAAGAAAAACATAGCATTTCCATTTTCTTATGGAAAGTCATGCTTGTCTGTGTAATCGAAAGTATATCTGTAGATGTCAAAGCCCTCTTCATAGGACAATAAAGGTTTTAATAAATTTGATTTTGGAATATGTGATGGGAATAGCAGTGATGGGTTGGTGCCCCACCTTTGGTTGTTCCCTGTCTTGTGTAGCCTCCGGGATTGGCTCTGGACCCCCCGGACCCTGAATCGAACAAGCGATTTCAGAAAATGGATGGATAGATGATAAAAATATGAATTTTTGAAGCAAAACCAGTATTTCCAACCAGTATGTTTTATTAACCTGTTTATTTTGACAGTACTCCACCTGGCACATTTTAAATAGTGCAGCAGATGGTTTAGTGAGTACACAGCTGAAGAGTGCGTGGTGGAACACCCCTAAAAATAAAGAAATATCAGTTGTATGAAAAGATTATTTCCCCGGCAAAAGGATCTGGCAAGCATTTGTTTGTGGTGTTAATTATACAGGAAAGTCTGTCTTGTTACCATGTTCTTCCTTGCATCTCCTTCTTTAGGGCTTCATCCATCTCATTCTTCTGCTTCTTTCACATAAGACCAGAAGTCAGGAAAGAGAATTTCTCTGTTGTTAAACCATGAACATGCTATGATATACTGGAGATTTGCAGACTGAAGCATGATATTCTTCAGTTTTTATTTCTATGAGAATTTCTGGATTGTTTTCACCTCTTGATGATGTTTCTTTATGTTTATTTTTTAAATAAAAAGTTCTGAAACTCATGGTGTTCTCTGGAATTTTGAGTGACATCCCCCCCCCACCCCTGGCAAAGGTTTGCTCTCTGATAAAATAGTGATGGTAGAACAAATTTGAGCATCTAAACCAGTCTGCATTGGTTGGAGAAAATTTTTTATCCTTTTAATACTGCAAATATACATTTCAAATGAAGTGATTGGTTTGCTTAAAATCGTTAAACTCTATATGCCACCTTCCATTTATTTGTAGGCAAACCTTTCCAGTTCGCTGATTGATGCAGTGGCTGTGGATGTTCTTTATGATGACAAAAATGTTTGAATCCAATCACTGACTTATGAAGAGCAGTAGTACTCACTTTCGATCAGTGACAGTTGCTGGATTTGTCAGCCTTGCACGATTGTGTAACCATAATGAGGTGTGATCTTACTTGGGGAGGGGGCTGGGCAGGATTTATGCTGTGCTGTCCCTTGCCAGCTCCTCTGGGGCCGTGGGTGGTGCCGTGAGGCCCAGAGCGTCCATCAAGGTGAAGTATGAGTAGACCCAGGGGCGCGAGATGTCCTGAGTGAGCCCCAGTGCCTCGGATTCCAGCAGCAAACCCCGCCGGAACTGCATCTGCTTCTCGAGGGCTTCACACTGCCTAGGGGAGGCCAGAGACACGAGTTCCCAGAAAGATAACACAGCCGCTGCCTTTCTGAAAATGCATCAGTTAATAGTGCCGTTTCACTGAGTTTCATGATGCGGCAGTAAAACCGCACAATGCTAACCATGATGATTAAAACACTGTGTCGCAATAGTGTCTGTAGTAGTTGGGATAAAGGTGGTATTTTGCCCGTAGGCAGCAGTAGGCAGGCCCAAGGCTGGGTATGGATACATGATCACCAGCCCTGGCTCTGTAGTCTATTTTTCTATTTGTAATCTTTTTTTTTTTTTTTTTTACACACTCTGCCAGGCCGATGGTGAGCAAAAACATGCAACGAAATTTCGTTCTGATGTGCACTAACCGGTGTATTTCTGAATGACAATAAAAGTGGCTGTTCTATTCTTCTATTCTAATTAAATGGACCATTTTTGCTTAAATATGTAGCCTAGTTGACACCTTGATGGCACGTATGTGTGTAATGTGCTATTTGCCTCACCTGTATGTCACTTTGGACAAAAGCACCTGCTAAATGTGTAAAATATAAATTGAAAGTGAGGAAAGCAGCTTTTCCACGTGGTCTGCCTGTATGGGTTATAATTTGTGTCTGTATGTTTATGCTGTTTTGCGGTTTGGCTTTCTTAAACAGCCTTCCTCTCCATATTTATGTAGATATTTGCTTCATGAAACCTTTATTTTAAGCTGTGCTCTTCTGTGTCCTGCCCCATGGCAGTCCTCTGCTCCATGACCTATGTGACTAATCAAACAGGGCAGGTTTTAGCAACATCTCCAGTGCACTAATATTTACCCCAGTGTAATGATTTACCTGGCAAATATTTCTGCTTGCAGTCTAGCCTGCTCTATAGCCTGCTGCGTTTCCTCCTCCTGCTTCCTCTTCCTCTCCTCCTCTGCCTTCTGCTTTTGCTCCTCTTCTTTCAGTTGTCTGTACAGGTACTCCGTCCGCTCACTCTCCTCCATATCTTGCAGCTTCCTCCTCTCCTCCTCTCTCTGTGCCTCTTTCACTGCACGCTGGCTCTCCAGCTCCACTGCACGTAAACAGGTGTGACCCCCCCCCCCATTCTCGGCTGCCCATTACTGCTCTCCTTAGTTTATTTCCCGGTAGGAAGTCTGAAGGTTTAGCATTTGCATACCTGCCCTGCGCTCCTGCTCCTCTCGCCTGATCCTCAGGAGGCGCTGGAGCTGCCGCCTTTCCTCCTCCTGTCTCCTCTTTTCTGCCTCCTTATCAGCCTGCTCTCTCCTCACCCTCTCCCTCTGAACCTCTTCCAGCTTCTGTTGCTCCTCCTGCTCTTTCAGCCGCTTAAGTCTGCAAAACCACAGGCACACACTTTGAATAGTATGTACACAACATGCTCTATTTATTATTTACAACGTTTTATCATTGTAATTTCAAACAAGGGGCTCCTAGCAATTTTGCATCTATTATCTCAGTCACATGCACATATTTTTTGTTCTGAAATTGATTATTCTTATTATTATTTCTTAAATTGCTCATCATTGTTCTGTATTCAGCTTATCTGCTACACAATGGTGCAAAATTAAGCCATCTGCAGAAAACTCCCTCAATTTCAACCCTCCTACCCCCAATTCCAAGATATCTGTTATAGTAATGTTAGAAGACACACGTCAACAGGCAATTTTGTAATACTTGGCAATGCATCCTATAGTAAATTATTTTAATATATTGACCTCGTTGGGAAACTCATTTTATTACATGCATCTACTGCTATATGCTGAATTGTTGAACTGATGAGCTTTGATTTGATTAGCAGTATTTCTAAGAGGATGTTGCAGTTAATAGCCACTTGAGGGTGCTGTTGCTTGCTTAAGGAACAGGAAGCTTCTTGTTGAGGAGTACTTGAATGCCTCTGCTCGCTGCTGTTGCTCGATCTCCAGCTGCAGCCTCATGCGCTCCTCCCTCTCCTCTCGTTCCTGCTGCCGTTGCTTCTCCTCCTGTTTCTCCTTTCTCTTCCTCTCCACTTCCATTCTGCGGCGTTCTGCACGCTCGGCTGGTCCTGCCCTCTGCTGCTCCACACAGGATGCAAGTTTTCCATCGCTGTCATCCTGGGACACATGGAAAGACAGCGAGTATATCCCAGTTCTCCCAGTCCCATACACATGCATACTTCACTGCAGCATTTCAGTAGTAAAATACACAATAGCAGAGATTTTTGCATTATTTGCTAACCATGCTACTGCTAGCCTCACAGCTAAGAAGCTGCGCTTGGTCTTCTGTCACCACAGTATCGCCAGATGTCTGAAGGTAATCATGAGAAGCCACCCCTTGGCAGTATGGCGCTGTGGTCTCCTGCTGGTCAGTCCTGCCTGTGCTGGGTGTTCCTGAAGAGGCTCCTCCCACAGAGCTGTGTGATACAGAGCCACACAGTTGGCACTCGTCTTCATCGCTTGTGCAGTCCCTGTCACAATCACTGTCCCGTGTCATTCTGCTCTCAGTCCATTCTTCTGCCCCCAGGTCTCTGTGTTTAGCTGCTTTATTCAGGGTGGAGGCCTTTAGTTTCTTCTTTAAATGGAGATTTCTCTCAGCTTTGTCAGTCTTCACGCTGCGCTCACGTGGCTTTCCTGTGGACACGGGAAGGAGGCGATCAGGCGCTGGGGTGAGAGGGCCTCTGGCTGACCTCTCTGACATAGAGCACCATACTCACCAACAACAAACTCCTCTTGGCTTTTCATCTTTTTCCTTTGGCTCATCACCATCCCTGTTTCTGAACTAGAACTTTTCTGAAGCCTCTGTCCTTTTAGGTTTGCTTTTTTCTGGAAAATGAGGAAAACTTCAGTGTATAAAATTCAGTGTATGCCATGTGATTTGAGCATTGTAGTTTCTTTATAATAACACTCACTGATGTTTGGTCACCCACAGGAACCCGGGCAGCTGATCTTTTGCGTAATCCTTCCTCTATAAGCTCCTGTTTCCTCTTTGTATATTTTGTTTCCTCTTGCTGCCCCCTGATTTCTGCTTTGTCTACATCTGCAGATGTGTTTGTTTGCTTGGGCTCTTCAGTCCACCTGAGCAAGGAAAAGTAAATAAAGTTAGAGGTATAGGGTTCGTGTCAGACGGAGGGATGCCACGGTCGAGTGAAGGTAAGAGTGGAGACGGGTGAAAGTGGACGGACAGTAAGAGATGATAAGGAGAGTGCAAAGGTCAGACTGTAGCACAGACACCTAGGGACGGCACTGAAACCGGACCTGTGATCAAAGCCACCAAGCACAGACTCCAGATGGAGTGCAGAGGCAGAGCGAGGGTGGAGAGCCTCCGGTAATTAGGCAGGATGTTCATTAGATCTGAGGCTCCGCAGAGCTTTACTTCCTGTGACCCGTGCCTGGGTGCAGACATGAAGACCACCCCTGTCTCTGGAGTTACGAGAGAAGGATAAAGATAGGGAGGAAGGATGAAGATGGAAGAGTGGGGAAGAATAAAGGAAGGGAAGCTCTGGAAAGGAGAAGTGAGATGGACACTAAAAGAGTGAGGGATCAGCGAATACACACGTCTTTGTTCTGCTAAGGCCTAAACCAGGAGACATCTAAAGGACCATTCCATCTCAAGCTCAGCATTAATGCCCTCACTGAAATGGACCATTTAAAGTCAGATTATACCACTGCTTGGTTGAGCAGACAGCACTCACCTGGCACTCAGGGCTCCTGCAGTCCTCATGCTGCTCTTAAGGTCCACTGTGGAGTTACTACTACTGGTGGTTGGCTTCAATACTGGATGGCTGATATGATGGAACTTCTCTGTTGGTGATACCACCAAGGAGCTGCCCTGTTCTCCATGCCCCTGTGTGCCTTCTTCAGAGAGGTCCTCCCCCTCCTCCTCCACTTGAAGTACTGACAGAGTAATGGTTGTATTAAAGCTTGTAGAATGGTCTGTCCCTGAAAGTTGGTTTCTTATATATGCTGTCGTGACATTAGGTGTGTCAGAAATGATCTTCTGCTCCTGATCTTTAAATGGATGACCATGAGCAATACCGATCTTGTGTTTTTGTTCATCAAATTGTCGGCCATTTAAAGATACGGTCCTTTGCCCCTGTTCCTCAGGCAGAAGACTACTGGCAGCAATGCTCATTGGATCTCGTTGACCAGAGAAATAATTGGTCTCCTGTTCATCAACAGGAAGACTGTGGGATGGAATGGTACTCCGACCGTGTTCCCCAGTGGAATGACCCTGGGCATAGACTCTCTGTTGTTCTTGGATCTTGTGGGCAGACCCTTTTCCCTGGGCAGAGGGAAATGGTAACAGGTTTAGACTGGTCTTCTGTCCACAGAAACATATCTGCACTGGAATGTAAATATGAAGTGGAGAAGCCGTAGCTCACCGTTCCCTGTACAGCAACCTCGCGATCAGCTTCCGCAGCCTGGCTCTTCACAGCTTCCCGCTGTACATCAAGATCATCTTCCCTGTCAATCATCTGCAAGACACACAAAGATAATTCCTCGGAATGTGTAATAGTACATACTATCCCAAAAAATAATACAGCAACATAGACAAAGACATGCACGGCCAGCAGCTCTTTTAATGAGGTGCGTTAATACATACCAGGTAGTACATACCTGGGGTCCGTCAGTACATACCAGGTAGTACATATCTGGGGTCCGTTAGTACATACCAGGTAGTACATACTTGGGGTCTGTTAGTACATACCAGGTAGTACATACCTGGGGTCCGTCAGTACATACCAGGTAGTACATACCTGGGGTCCGTCAGTACATACCAAGTAGTACATACCTGGGGTCCGTTAGTACATACCAGGTAGTACATATCTGGGGTCCGTTAGTACGTACCAGGTAGTACATACCTGGGGTCCGTCAGTACGTACCAGGTAGTACATATCTGGGGTCCGTTAGTACGTACCACGTAGTACATACCTGGGGTCCGTTAGTACATACCAGGTAGTACATATCTGGGGTCTGTTAGTACATACGTATACCTAGTTAACTCCTTCAGAAATCCAGTGTTGGGGAAGTTACTCACAAAAGACATCCATTACAGACAGGTGGAAAGTTCAGGCCCAGAAAGTACAAATCCAGACCAAGGTTTTGTTCCAACCAAGCAGCTGAGTACTGATGTGAGTTTGACTCTTTATATTCAGCTGGTTGGTTGAAACAAAATCTTGGTCTGGATTTGTACTACCTGGACATGAACTTTCCACCTCTGTCTGCAATGGGATACGTTTGTGTGTAACCTCCCCAATACTGGATAACTTCACCTGTATGTCACTATAGACATAAGTGTCTGTTACATACCCGATTCCTTGGGTGAGGAGGGCTTGTGTAGCGGAGGGTAGTGTCAATAAACCTCGCCTCAGCTGCAATATAAAAAAGCCAGCAGTCACAAGGGGGAGCAGACTGTTTTATTTCTTTAAATGTGTAGTTGGAACATTTTCCAAAGAATCTTTTGTCATTGGTGTATATAAGGGTACCTGGAACCACTATACCAGGAAGTAACATTTGGAAAAGCACTGACAATATAATTTCTCATAACTGTCACTTCAGTATTTTCTAGGCGTAAACAGCCATTTTTCTTGATTAATCTTGGTACATTTCACATATGGAAAAACATAAATCTATTTAATGTCTTAAGCCAAAGAAAGTAAACAGTACTTGTATTAATTTTCAACACACTCCCCACTCTCAGACATTCAGGGGGAACAAGTGCCAATGTGACCCATGACCTGTGACCCTGCTGAGTTTATTTAACCCACCCAGCAGGCTGAGTTACCACATGGGGCCGTGCAGAGGAGGCGACTGGCATTCCAGTGCTGCTGCTTTCTAATACTGTAATGCGAAGCTGAGGTTATGAGGGAAAGAGGGTGATGAGGCTTCTGCATCACAAAAAAATGCATTCAAAATTCCATGTAGATCAACATATATATTTTAGATATCTTTCCCTCAGATTTTACACAAACATAAATATTTCAGAACCATGTTTGGGCCAAGCTGTCTACCTTAATTACCAGGCCTGTCCATCAATGCCCTTGTCAAGTGATTCCCTACATCTCACTTGCGCCAACACAAGTCTGGCTAAATTCTGATTCAGTGACAAAATGAGAGACGCCCCACTCATATGAGGGCCCTCCTGCTGTGTGTGTGTGTGTGTGGGGGGGGGGGCAGTGCTAATTAAATTCTGCTGCTGAAGGAAGTCCATACCCAGCCAGGATGTACATTACCAGTAAACCTGTGTGCTTCCCACCATGTAAGTTCAGTTTCTGATATTTGCAGAGCTGTCATCATTTTGGATTTCCAGATTGTGGAAACAGGTGCAACATGTCATAATTATTGTGAGGAGTCTCTAACCTGCACATGTCTTCCCCTCTGGAACTAGCTTGCAGGCTGATTGACAATAAAATCTGGTGCTCCACAGGACTTGGCGTGACATACATTACACTACATGTTTCTTTTTTTTTTTTAAACTTTTCTCAGTTTTTGTATAATTACTCATGACAGAAGGTAGCCTGTATTACTGACATCAACACATGAAACTGTTTCACCTTGAAAACCTTACATTCCTTGAAAAGAAGCGCACTGTAATCTGATCACACCCTGCTTTTGACCTCGTATGAGCCCACATGAGGCTGAAAGGAGGCTCTGAGCTACAGGCAGCCCTCCTGTCTGAAGAGTTACCAGTGTGGGGGGGGGGTGCTTTCTTCATGTAGCCCACTGAGAGATCAGTTGCTGAACCAGAACACCATCCAGGACTGTTCCCCAAAAGGAGGGTGTTAGTCCCTCTCCATTTTCTCTCCAGGTTAACTTTCTGCTGAGCCATACTGCTTTCCAGGGAGCCTTTGATGTTGGGAAGGGGGGGGGGGGTAGGGTGGACTGTGTAGCCTCCCAAAGAGAGTAACTGTACCAGAGCTGGCCAACAGGGGGCAGCAACTCCCTGGTTTTGATGGTTGACCCAATTCTGTTTGACATGCCGAGATACCTTTGCATGGCAATACGTGGCATAAAAAAGGGAGAAATAGATCGTGGGTAACAAGATATATGGTGTCCGTGACCTAGAAAGTCTCCCCTTGTTAAAACAGGAGCCAAAAAGCAGGTGCCATAGAGAGAATGCTTTGATCTGAAGCAGCTTCACAATCTTCCTGCAATGTTCTGCACTGTGGTTCTTCCCTAACCCAACCTCACTGACTGACGACAGCACTGGAAATATGTGCAATGCAGCCTCCCATTGTTCATATTTATCAAATCAGGCTCGGCCTGACAGCAAATTTCATATGCACACCCAATAAACTGATTCGTTACTGTCCTTTTTAAGTGTTGAATTCCAAAAGTTGTTTCATTATTAGCATTTGCGTGTTTTATTATTCTTAAGGATATATAGGCCTATGCTTAATAAATGCAGTTTTACTGACTGGCTCCTCTTCATAGATCGGGGTGGGCAATTTTATCCGCAAAGGGCCGCTGTGTATGCAGGTTTTTGGGATAACCTGTAGGTCAGCTGTTCAAACCCAGGTGTGAGGACTCTTCAGCCAATCAGTCCTCTAATTAATAATCTAATTAGGGAGTTGCAGCAAAATCCCACATACAACAGTCCTTTCTGGATAAGTTTGGCCACACCTGACATAGATGGTCCGTGGCCAAACAAAAGGCCATTTAATAAATGGATCGGCTAACCAAAACCTAAAACAATATGATAAAACATATGAATCAATATCCTCCAACTGATTTGAGTGTGATCTTTAGTTCATTAATATGAGATTTTTGAAAACCTACAATTATATTGCACACGTTACAGAAAATGACTCCTACACATAAGAGAGTCTCCCTGTGCTTTCCCCATGTTCTCCGCTGGAGGTCCAGCAGGAACATGGAGGAGAAGCTCACTGAAGCAGCATCAGCTCACCAGTTAGGAAGGTTCTGTGACTCAGACACATCCAGCGTTTTACTGCCAACCTGGGGAACCAGGGAATTAGGGGGCTGGGGGGTGGACAGGCTGAACACGGAATAATCCTGTACACGAGAAACCTTTATTTAGAAAGTGTCAGGTTTTGAAGAGGCCCAGATTCCAGGTGGAGGGGGTAGATGGGGCTCGGGTTTCGGAGCAGTGACGGGATAAAGGAGAGAGAGCTGCGAGAGGCCTCATGTTGCCAAAACAGCCTGTGTCCGTCACCAGCGCAAGCCGGGTTTAAGGCCCAACCTGGCGCCCTGTGGGTGTGGTCCCTCAGTAGGGCAAAACACAACCAGATGTGGATTAGCCGGGGGGGGGGGGCGCAAGAGAAAGCAGCACAGAGATTGTGTGTATAAATGTGCATACAGTGTGTACAGGCAGGAGTGTGTGTATGTGTGTGTGTATCTGACTGAGAGAGTGAGCTGTAAAATACATACAGTGTGTGGAAGCAGGAGTGTGTGTATGTGTGTGTGTATCTGACTGAGAGTGAGAGAGTGAGCTGTAAAATACATACAGTGTGTAGAAGCAGGAGTGTGTGT